TAAAAAATAAAAAGGTTGGAAAGTGCAAAAGAGTAGAGTAAAAGTTAATGGAAACGAAAAGAAAACTATTCCTTTAAACTAACCCTTTCTCAGCCGAAAAACGATCCATCATATTGGTCATACATGCATGGCTTACCATTACGACTGGAATCACAACTCGATCTGCATACTTGCTACCAGCCATTGGTACCGGTGAATGACCATCATCGTTGAATACAATCAGCGCACTGTACGGATCTGGATATCCCCGTTGTGCATGGTACGCCTAGATTATGCAGGATAGCCACTGCTTCCTTATCAGACAAATGACCAGTATAAAAAATTCAAAAAAGCTAATAATTCATAAGATTCATGACCTTAACATGATACAGCCTGTAGAAATAACAGAACAGTGGGAACTACTTATTTGTTATTGAATTTACGTACGGATTAATTGAACACTTCACCTTTTTGATTGTTAATGCATAAGAAATAACTATTCGTTTAACAATATTAACATAGTAATTACTTTTTCGGAGAAGCTACAGTTACCACGAGGTACCACTGCGTAATAATTGATACACCCGGTCCGATTATTCTGTAAATGCTTCTTTTTCAAAAATTTTCACTTGCAAGCAGGGAATTTTGTTCTAGCCATATTCCAGCATCTGGATCACAACAGCATATTCGTCTAATCCCAAGACATCACGATATTTCCAATCTTCTGAGAGTTGGCGGGATGACCGCCGTTTTGATTAGAAAGTGTCTTATGAAGAACCTAACCAACAACAGTCACTCGAGGCAGTCAGAAAAAAAATAATTTTGAAATTAATCTAATATGATACTGGATCTGTTGAAAGCGAGAAAAATGAGCTAATAAAGGTATAGAACAATTCGTGTGTGCCTTCCATAGATTTCACCTATCATATGAAAAAACCAATGAACTGATTCTGGAAAGTGATATTTTAAATAAAATACACTTACGAAAGTATCTTCACAAGAATCTTCAGGTGTTGTAAAATATGCACAACCAGTTTCATTGGCACTAAAACTCAGCATTGGAATTTCACCGCCGAAATCAGCACCTGTTGCATCGCACTGTAATATGGCTTGAAACCCACCTGGTCTTGGCTCCCACTGCAAATTTTTTTCATTCAATTTCACATCGATAAAGTCTAATTCTCACCGAATTTCACGTCGATAAAGTGTGATTATATGCCGCCTTTAAAAGATGCCTATGAAAACATTCAGCCAGATTTTTTTATTCAATCCTTTACCTTTTCAAAATTTCAACAATTTGAATCGGTCTAACTCAATCAATAACATGTATTGGTTTTATACGGACTTGTTTAGTAAAAAAAATTCTTCCTCTTCTAGTTAACAATAACATCTGGTAGCGATAAGCTATTTAATTTAGTATGATCTTGACTGAATTTATTTTTAAAATTTTCGTCTTTAAGGAACATACCACTTCAATGATGTATTGCTCATACGTTGGTTTGAAAAAAACAAAAAGTATGAATAATGTAAAAGTTCCACAGTTAGCGGAAATATTATGCATACGCATATCTGCTTGACAATAATTTCAGCAGCATCCAATATATTATTTACTGTAAATAAAAAATGTTTTAATTTACTAAAAGCTGAAAATCTCAATGACGTCAGTTAATCATAATATTAAACAGTTTAATTCCATCTCAAACAAAATCATAATCAAAAAATGATTCAAAAAGTTTAAGATACTCCTAAACCGTTGTTTCAAATTAGATATATCGGAACAAAACTCTTTAGAATTGTCACATGGAAGAAAGAAATTTGCCAATTCACTTTGCCTGATTTTCAATAAACAATGCAAAAAAAATGCAAAGAAGGGATTAATTTTATGTAAATTAAAATTCAAGTTCAGAAGCATTTCGTTCAAACTATAACTAATTCATGAATGGTACAAATAAGTTGTCACATATCATCATGTGAGAAATGGTAATGTTGCTCAATGATCTATGTCACATGATGAGCAATATGTTTCTCCTACGAACATACGAACTTATACTTGTTATACTTGTTTCCATCACCATCATCACTATTTATCCATTGTAAACAAACAGCTTACTTTTTTTCTTTTAACTACTTGTTCATATATAACAAACATAAAACTACTCCCTATTTTTCCCTTTTCAAATGTCCAATAAATTATATTTTTAATGAAATACACACATGTATTCATATAATACAAAATATATTATGACTAAATACTGAAGGAATTATTAATTACATCAATGCGAAGCATCCTCTTTATTACATTTTTGAGATAAAACTTGATAATCTTTATATTTTCATTTTGCATATACATTATTCTATTACCAAAAATGATGTTTGTCCGTTAAAAATAAAGAATTAATAGTAACTATTGAAATAAAAAAAAAAGCTTCAAAATAATTTAGTGCCTCTATTTTCTCAAGAAATATCATATCTTTTTGCAATAGAATCATCTATAAACACTTAAGAACAACAATGGAAATGTAATAATTATAATAAAAGACTAAATTGAATCATAAAATTTAGTCGTTTAACTGATGAGAAAAGTACACCTTCCACTAACCGCTGACTTGCTCCGTTCTCATTTAGCGAGTTGTAGAATATGGCACATACGACTCTTTGATAGGGTCATCATGAAATTCTTATTGGAACAGGGAATTTTTTAAAATGTTATGCCTTACAAACCTGTATTTATTACTTGAATCATTTTGAAAGATTTTTTAAAATCTTTTGCCATACTTGTTGTAGCAAAGCGTACTATTATATAATGAGTTTTTACACCATATGTTACAAATGTAGCAATCAATTTTTTAATTCCCAAGATGTACTAATGCGATCTTTGATAAGTAATTTTGTAGACTATTATTATGCAAGCATGGAATTGAGAATAATAAACTTTCAACTATAGATTGCTTGAGGAGATGGAAAGAACATAACCATCATATTTCAGTTAATCATGTATACTAAAATAGAATACCACACTGCAAATTGGGATACATGAAACGTATAAGATGAAATGATCTTGTTCGAAACTTGGAATTGGAAACTGCAAAAATAATTATGCGATCTAATGGAAAAAAAGAGTCAATACTAAATTGAAATGTGTAGAAACAATCTTTATTTTGTAGAAATTTAAAAAGAATGGTGATGAAACACCCAAAAATTTATTTAATTTTTGACGATTGTAAATGTTGACAGATTTGAAAACTGATGGTTTCTACGAAAAAATAGGGGCTAAAGATTGCCAATACTTAATATTTTTGGTATACATCGCAGAAAAAAATTTTACCACTTGCAGAAAACAAATAATAAAGTCAATCTGTGAGTGAAATAATTCAAAAGAGTTGATACAATGTGAAATGAAAATCGAAGTAAGTGTTGCTATAAAAAACTGCAAAAATTTTCCCCGGACATGATAATAGCTTTGCTTAAAAAATTCCCGCAAGATTATACACTGCTACCTCACCTTGATTTCAAAATAACGATAACAAAATAATGAAGATATTAATCACAAGTTGACACGATTAATACTTACAGCAACGGCTTGCTGCATCCGCTGCTGTTTTGTACGTTCTTTGAATTCCCTCTGTGTTCGATCGAGTCGACTATTCGAACGATTCTTCGTTGCTCCACGAAATTGACCTTCAACATTACTCTTAGGACGTACAACATAATCCTTTTGAGATGGTCGTGGTACACGTGCGCGCATTATGAAACCTTTGTCACCAGGACGAGGTTCTGATATCTCCTTTTCAGCATCTGAATTTTCGGATCCAGCACTAAAAATTTTCAAAATAACTCAGTCACAACTCCAGTGGCACTATCCAAGTGACACATCTGCAATGAGTAAACATCGTTGCCTTATGATTTTAAAATGAAATTTTCGGATTTAAAAGATAAATACTAAAACCAATCCTAGGAAAGTGAACTAATGCATGATAATCAAATAAAAAGTCTCTTTAGTATCATTATGAAATCGTAATGCTAAACTATATACGTCCGGTCATTCAACAAGTAAAATTCAAAAGCTTACTCTAAACGGCGTCGTTTGGCTTCTGATAATTGTGCATAATCACGCTGTACACGCTCATCTTTTGTCATTGAACGAAAATCTGTATCAAGCTAAAAATAAGAGAAAATATATTCAAGAACAACAAAAATATTTTCTACATCATTACATAAATGATTCGTGATATAAATATAACGATTCCATTTGCTAACTGAATACTTTTATTCTAATTTCATTTCACAATAATTTCTGCTCTGCAGTCCCTTCTAAGTCTAAATCAGAATTGCATGGAAGGAAATAATTTCATTAATCAAGATAGTCCGTTATTTGATAATATGTTTTTCAGCTGTCACGCTATTCTAATAATCGTTAAACCGTTCTATGAACTGATCTGAATAAAGAGATTGTAAATTTCTTTTTGAAAATAAACAAGAAATTCCCTGACTGATCAAATTGATAAAAAAGTAAAATGTACATTGAGAAAAACCAAATGAAAAGTTGCGAACCTGGAAGATGGGCCTAGCCCAATCACTAATCAGCCTTGCAGCAAGAGCTTTATTTTCTTTAGTTTCGCGTGGATGCTTATACAGTAGCATTACAGCACGTCCTAATCCAGATTGTTTCAGAGTTCCTGGTTCCAGTCGATTAAAATCTTGAAGGATTTTTAACAAATCTGTTCGAATTTCCAGTGCAGGTAATGATTTATCCGGTAACGGTGCCAACCACTCCGATATTACATTCATCATACCATTATCTACAGAAATATTGATAATTTTTTAGATATCTAAAACAATTTCCAATAAATCTTTAAAGTTTTAAGCTCAGTAAAGCGAAGCTACAACACTTTTTAAGATATTTAATTTGCAGCAAAAAGAAAAGTTTGGCATGGAAATATTATAAACCCTTATTGCTAAAGTACTCGTATTTTATTTCAACAATAACTTATAATATTTTAATTATTTCGCAATATTTTAATTAGTAATATCAACTCACCAATGACAGCCTCCATTAAATCATGCTTTATTAACATTGCTTTTACGTATGGCAGCATTTTACGCTTTTGCAACGCAGGTCGACGCTCCATATTCGAATGACGGTCGTCCTAAAATATTTTTATGCAGCTATTACTACAAATTTATGATCACTAAATGTTGCAATTAATTTCGTAACTGACATAGTATGTGAATGTATATG